AGCAGCCGCCAACGAAGCCGAGGGGGCTGCGCGAGGGGCGAAGTGAAGGACCAGCCTGCGGCCGCACGGTGCAAACCCTGAATTCGCCCCAGCTAGGAGCTGGGAGCAGCACAGGAGAAAACGCCACGCGATCGTAATGGCTGGGAGCAGGTGGCCGAGTGCCAGATGAGACCGCAACACAACAGTGGTGAAGGACCACACGCAACTTTCCCCCCACACCAGTGCTTTGCAGCATGCATCTATCAAGTGAGGTGGCACCAGCCAGCTCTGAAGACTCACAGGCAAGTTGAACTTGGGCGGGAAGTGAGCATCACCCGAGACCACAGCAGGATGGTTCACAACTCCAGCATCCCTCCGGGACGCCCCAATTTTGTCACTTCAGCCGGTCTCAGGGGTCAGCAGCAGCTTGCATCTCATACAGCGCTTCCCTCCTGAGCAGGCCTGAGAGGACGTTTCGAGGCTCAGCTGCCACCCAAACGGCTCCCTCCCACGTGGGTCTGCTCCCCTCCCAGATTATCAGCGGATCTGACCGCGCCGGCACCGCGCGCCTGGTTCTGCGACTGCATCAACAGCCCCAGGTCACTCACGCGTGCAGCTCTCGCCGGGTTTTGGCCCAGGGCAGCAGGAGAGCCAGCAAGGCGCGAGGCTCCCCCAGGACCCCGGGGCTTCTCGCTGGGGACCGGCGAGGCGACAGCCGGGCCCAAAAAAAGCCGCCGTGCTCCGAGCAGGAGGGACACGGTGCCAGGGAGCGCCGGCCTGCAGGGGATGGCGGCAAGGTCACGGAGGAGGCGGCGCCAGGGCTGGAGAATCGCCTGGGTTTAAGAAATGCATTTTGCACGCCAAAGAATGAGAAGCCTGCTCGTAAGAGCAGAGAAATTCCTCACCCTTAGTTTGGCTTCTTCTAGTGGAAAATAATAGCCTGCTGTACCTAGTGGACACAAGCAAATGGAGTAACTTCTGTTGCAGCTTGCAGTCTGCAAAAATCTATTATTTTGGCTGGAGCTCTGGGCAGCGATGTTGACAGCTAAGATTTAGGAGGGCATTTTGAAGTTTAATTTCCTTTCAGTTCATGGGAAAA